TGTTGGTGTGTCTCGACGATTAGAGGCAGCTGATCCTTCCCCAGGGACTAGTTGTTCGCCCCTCCCGCGAGCTGGCTCCGAACATGGGACTGGGCGTAGAGGCTTTGGTGGATTAGATAATTCCTCTCGTTCAGAAAACCCCGGGCGAGAACTCGATGGTCGCTCTCGTGACATTTTCGTAAAACTAAATCCAATATATGTTTATCTGTACAAAAGGAAAGAGAAACACGTGGTAAGTAAAAAAAAAAAAAACACACATGCGATAAAATATAAAATCAAACAAAAGGTATATAGTTGGTAATTCTTACTTACATTATTGGCAGGAGAATGGCTTTCTCTAGTCACGTAATGGAAGATGAGAGTTTGGGGTATGGGGGTTAGGTGATAGGGAAATTAGAAGCAAAGGTGGATTGGGTTGGAAGTTCACTCTATTATGACGAAGAGAATGGGAGTAGGGTGCAAGATGTTATGAGGTGAATTTTGGGAAGAGAGTTCACCCCTTCTTTCCCTATTTATATGCAGGGCTTATCGGTTGAGAGTTCACACAACCAATAAGGGGGGCAATTGATAAGTACCACCCACCTAAATCTATTACCCATAATTTTCCATGTGTCATGTGTTGGATAATTGTGAGGAGTAAAATCTCTTTACCCACCCCACGTGGCTCCTAACTGGAAAAGAAATGCTCCACTCCATGATCCTCTACTTACACGTGACCCATGGAAGATGGGAGACTAGTTTTACCACCATTTCTCTCTTTGAGTCCACCTAATTCAAAGACAGCTCAATACCACCTGTCTAATACGTGGAGGAAGGGAAGGTAAGACATGGATAGCTTTTTAACCCCACCTAAGAAGTACACTTCCTGTCTTTCACCCCTTCCACATACAAATAAAGAAACCCCTACTATCTTAGTCCTCCAACTATCAAAGCCCTAGAATAAGCACATAACCAATTGGGTTGCAAGCCACTATCACTTACACGTGGCCTTGATAGGGTAAAATCAATTATGTTCTCCCTTAAAATTATTAATTAAATATATTTCTTGTATATTACAGCCCACCATTCAACTTGGTTGGGAGAGCCTTTGTTCCACTTAAACACACAAACTAAACCTTCTTTTTAAGCTCATCCACGTAGCTTGTATAGAGTGGCCATCATTATCTTTCCACCACCTCCTGCTTCCCCATTTTCACGTAGCTATACATGAGATAAAGTGATTTCATCAACTAATGACACATGCACTTTTTAATCAATAGAGTCCCCTTACTCTCCTCCACCAGTTACATTGGTTAAATTCATACATCCACATCCTAGCACGTGGAAGCAAATAAGGTGGAAATTGACACTTTATTGTGCTAGTAGTGTGCATATATCCATGCATTGACGTCCAAGGTAAGCTTCCAACCTTCAATTAATATGTTTATTTCACACTTTACTCACGATTAGTAAGGGACACGCCACCCCATGCCAGGAGCAGGAGGCACCTATAAATAGGACGCTCATTTATGTTTCCTCGGCAATCCATCTCAATTCCAGGGAACTCATTTCCTCTGAACGAGATAGGAAAAAGGGAATTCCCGACGAACTTCTTCTCGGCGAATTGGCAACTTCCAACCCCAAAATTTCTCTTTCTTTCTCCCTAGAGCCGGTTCTATACGCCGCTCCGTGTTATTTTCAAGTACTGACTTGAGCTTTGGAGAAGGTCCCAGCCGACCACAACCGGCGGGTCCTCTTTTGCAGGTATTCATCTCGAGAGCTGGAATCCAACGGCAAATCAAAAGGTCAACGCTCTCCGGACTCTACAACGTTCGAGGTCAGCTATTTTAGCTTGGCATCAACACAAGGGATGGAGCATAATTAATGTGGATTTATAAAGGAAGAAACACGCTTGTTATTATTAAAAATTGGGTGGATACACATGTTTCTACATAATTCCGCCTCGTCACAAATATAATGAAGCATACTACAATACAAAACAAAAACCAGAAACAAAACAAACCACACTAAAAATACCAAAAAACCTTTAAATCACACCAGAAGCTCAATAAAAACCATAAAATTCATAAAGCATACCAAAAAGTTTATACAGGAGTCGGTGAAGAAGGAGTTCACGGCAGAAGAAATTCATCAGGCTATTAAAACCATGGGTGCTTTGAAAGCCCCGGGGAAGGACGGACTAAACCCTCTCTTTTACCAACGGTGTTGGGAGTTTGTGGGCATTGCAATGGTGGAGTTTGTGAAGTCTTGCTGGCATACACCATTGCGAATCCAGGAAGTGAATGAGACCATCGTTGCACTGATTCCGAAAGTCCAAAGGCCCTCTTTGATAGAACAGTTTCGGCCAATCAGTCTTTGCAACGTAGCATATAAGATGGTAACGAAGTGCTTGGCAGAGCGGATCAACCCTTGATGCCGAGATTGGTTCATGCTACACAGACGAGCTTTGTGCCGGGCAGGCATATTACTGATAACATTTGTATTTTGCAGGAAGTTGTCCATTCGATGCAGGCTAAGCAGGGCAGGGTGGGTTGGATGGTCCTAAAAATCGATTTGGCTAAGGCGTATGACAGGATAAAGTGGAGCTTTGTCCAGGATACACTGGAAGCTGTGGGCGCGCCAACGGAATTCATGGGGATACAATGGAATGGTGGCCTCACCGACGCTTTCTCTCCATCCAGGGGACTTAGACAGGGATGCCCTCTGTCACCCTATCTATTCACTCTTTGCGTGGAGAGATTGGGTCATTTGATTGATGCTGCGGTCGATGCAGGAGAGTGGAAGCCGATAAGTTTATCACAGCATGGATCGAAGCTGTCACATCTGTTCTTCGCGGATGATTTGATCTTGTTCAGCGTTGCGTCTATGCAGCAAGTACAAGTAATCTTGAAGTGCTTGGAGGATTTTGGGGCAGCTTCAGGGCAGGCAGTCAGCAAACCTAAATCGCGGATCTTCTTCTCCAAGAACGTCTCAGGCGCAGTAGGAGCAAGCTTGAGCAACACACTGGATATACCTGAGACTAAGAATTTGGGTCGGTACCTAGGCGTCCCTGTGATACATGGAAGGGTGTCAAAAGCAACTTATACCGAGCTCATTGATCGAATTGACTCCAGACTTGCGGGGTGGAAGGTTAACTCGTTGTCACTAGCAGGACGGATTACTTTAGCCCAGGCTGTGTTGTCCTCCCTTCCAGCTTATACGATGCAGACAGCCCTTCTCCCGACCTCAGTCAGAGATTATATTGATAAGAAGATAAGGGGTTTCATTTGGGGGAGCTCAGAGCAGGGGAGGAAGGTCCATCTGGTTGATTGGGAATCTCTATGTAAACCTAAGGAAGAAGGTGGTTTGGGTTTGAGGAGTGCGACGAAGATGAACGATGCATTTATGCTGAAGATTGCTTGGCGATTGTTCACTGAGCCAACTAGCCTATGGGCTCAAGTGATTCGAGGGAAGTATCTTAGAGAAGTAGATGGTATGTGGCAGCCTAGAAGGAATGGTCGGTTATCGAACCTATGGCGAGGAGTTCTTCGAGTAATAAATTATATCCCAGAAGGCACCATGTGGAACGTGAGAAGCGGTATGCAGAATCGATTTTGATTGGATAGATGGCTGCAGGATGGACCGCCCTTAGAGAACTTTGCCCAGGATCTTCCCGAAGAGGCGAAAAACTTGCGGGTGGCTGAGCTAATCCTTAATGGCGATTGGAACCTTGATTTCGTTCGAGCCTTTCTTCCGGAGGCGTTCGTTCTTCAGCTGCAACTTCATCCGGTGCCGCATGGAGTTGAACCGGACATCCCAATATGGAGGTTCTCAGATACAGGGAATTTTACGGTACGCACCGCCTATGAACTGCTTCGAGACGAGGAGGAGCCTCGGGAACAACACCCCGCGTGGAAGTCTGTTTGGAAAATTCAAGGTCCCCAGCGTACGCGTACTTTTTTCTGGCTAGTTTTACACAAGAAGCTACTAACTAACGGGGAGCGCTGCAGAAGACACATGGCTAATTCTGACAAATGTCAAATATGCGGAGGTGGACCAGAATCAGTTCTCCATGTTCTGCGGGACTGCCCTTACACTCGGGAAGTGTGGTCGCACGTGTTGGAGGACGAACCTGACCGCGTGTTCTTTCAGGATGATCTAACGAAATGGGTTCTCTACTACTTATCGGGCAAAAGCAGAGTATTGGATCCGTCAGTGTATGCGATCTTGTGTTGGCAGTTGTGGAAGAACCGTAACTCATGGGTTTTTGAGGAAAAGCTTGCATGTGCTGAGCAACTTCCGATTATGGCGAGGCTTTTGGGAGAGCAGAGTAAGAAGGCATTTGACAATAGAGGGTCAGTACTAGAGAATGGCAGCCATGTTGTGCAAAGTTATATTGGTTGGCAGCGTCCCCCTCCGGGATGGATAAGCGTGAACTCCGATGGTTCTGTTAATCTGGCGCAGATAAGCTCGGCGGCGGGAGGAGTCTTAAGAGATAATGATGGCTATTTCGTGGCTGCTTACTCGGTGAATTTAGGAGGAGGATCCATCACCTATGCAGAGCTGGCGGGGATCTCTTATGGAATGCAAACTGCTTGGGATCGAGGGCATCAGAAGATTGTGGTGCAGACTGACTCCTCTACAGCTATTTCACTCATAGAGTCAGCCGATTCTTCTCACCCTCAAGTTCAAGTTGTACCATAAAAGAATTTGCACAAAAAGTATAGGTACAATCTGAAGTTGTACCATAACGTAAATGTACAATTTTAAGTTGTACCATAAAAGCAAAACCCTATAGCACTAATACTATATAGCATTGTAAAATTTCTCATATAGAGGCAAATCAACCTTAGGCACTAGGCAGGGGCCAATTATCTAATATTTTTAATGAATTACGTGAGCTCCGCCATAAAATTAAAGGGTGTTAAAACCTAATCTATTCCGAAAATACATATAATATGTTTGCGCCATTTTGAGTATATAAAGCGAAGATCAATCCATGCACCAAATAACCGAAGACAATGAGTACCCACAACCCAAACCAGCTGGCCACACCGCCACCGTCTCCGCTTCCCACTCCACCTCCTTATTCTCAATCTCACGACAAGCAGCTCTTCATAGTCTCCGGTTTGGCCCTCCTAGTCATAATCAGCAGCATCTGCATGATATGCATCACCGGCCGTACGAGCAACAATAATCATCGCCACCAAAACAACGCCGCCGACGCGCCAACGCGACACGACTGTGGACGTTATGATGATAAGGAACAGATCATCACGACGACCGTCACCGTGACGGCGGAGGAGGAGGAGGAGGAGTGCGCGGTGTGCCTGGAGGGAATGAAGGAAGGAGATGAGTGTGGAGTGGTGAAGCGGTGCGAGCACATGTATCACAAGCCCTGCATCGACCGCTGGCTTCTCCACAGCGACCGCTGCCCTCTCTGCCGACTCCACATCTGGACTGCTCCTCACCCTCATCATCATCGCCTTATTCATCCCGCCACTACTCCTCAGCTACATGTGGTATAGATCGATCGATCGAGTTTATTTGAACAATAAATATTGTATATATTGTATATAATATATGGGCTAGTTAATATATATAATTAACACTTTTTTTTGTAGGTAACAATAGTTTAAGGTTTATATGAATACTATTGCATGTTAATCGTATGTGTATATATATATATATATATATGTATATATATGGTGCCTTTTATGGTATCCAGGTGAAATCCAAAGTACCGCATACTTTGAGTATGAAAACGCTATCTAGATTTCGAATTAGCAGAATTTTTGGGCATGATACTATACCTTAACCCTTAATGAGACCCTAGGTCCTAATTATCTTAATCGTAAACTATAAACCCTAAGATGGTGCATTGATTTTTCCCTCTATATTTGGACGAATCATAACCGTCAATTATTGTTTCTAATTAAATTGATCTTGGGTAGAAGATTTAAAGAATTAAGACTTAGATTTTGATCTTTAAGGGTTAGAGTATAGTATCATGTCCGAAACATCAGTCAATTCAAGTTCTGGATAGGGTTTTCTTACTCAAGACAGGCGGTACCCTTGATTTCACGCTATGTACCGTAGAACTCCATATATATATATATATATATATATATGATGAATGACATATTTTTATCATGTGCAATACTTCAAATAATTTATTTTGTAGTGTGTGAAAAGCAGCTACATACTAGCCTTAGACTTATTAGGAATACCGAATGAGAGTTTGTTTAAGTCTACAAGACTACAATACACAAGACAAAGAGCCCTTGAAAGATCGACTCTTTCGTAATTTTAATATAGTTTGTTGTTTCCTAGCTAGCTATAATCATCTTAACACTGATAAATGTTAGCAAAGAAAGACTCCAATATTTTTGCCACCCCGAGGAAATTGAACAAAGGTAGGAGGCACTTGTCTACCAGAGGGCGGGTTCTTCCACGGCTGTAGCTGCCAAGTGGCCAGCTCTCGATGCACCGCCAATTTCATTCACCGAATCTGAGTCCGGTTATATTTTATCCAATACCCACACCACGTGCTCCGGTGATAATAACCGGGACTAGGAAAATAGACGAGACATTTTGAAAAAACTGCGGATCAAATCGGATCGGACACTGTAGACCGTTAAGAATTGTCTGGTTTGGTTCATAGTCTGTATTATATTATGTTTTGATTTTTTGGTCTGGTCTAGTCTAGTCTAGACCGCGATTTACCAGACCAAATCGTGGACACATCCGACTTCCCAATACATGTTAGCAATCCAATCAACCACTCTCCCAACTCCCCCAACAAGATCTAAATCTGAACGCCAATTTTGAGAATCCTTCCTCCTTTATTCACAATCACATTTCACCAGAAAGTAGAGACGATCGTGTCTCCTCATGTTAACGTTTAGGCACACCTAGGCGCAAGGCAATGGCAAAACGACTCGCCTAGGGGTTTCGCGCCTAATTAGATACGGGAACACGTTAATGGAGTAAGGCGACAAATAAGTCTCTCCTAAATATTACTAGATGGAGCTAGGAAGTCAATATTAAAAGAGAAAATTAATGTCAACTATGAACTATATCAATATATATTTTCAATAGCTGAAGAACTTTGTGAGGTATTGAGCTATGATTCTATGAATTCGTGATCTATGTTCTTGTCATTGAGTGTTGAGTAAGTTATTAATCATTTTAACTGAAGTGAGGAAGTGTTGTAGATTATTATTTCAATCGTCATGCAGTGCGAATAACTATTTTTCTTCCAACACCTAGGCGAGCTATGCACTAGGCAAAGTCTCAACGCCCGCCTTACGCCTAACGCCTTTTTGACCTTGATCTTTGTTATTTACTAAGATTTATGGTATCAAAATTAGTCATGCATATTGAAATTTATGTTTTGAGGGGGAAAATAGGTTTTCTACCGATTATTTGTTCAATTTTTTATGTGGTTGAATAAACAACTGCTAATTTTTTGTTCGTTATTGTCTATTTGGACCAGACCGTATCGGACTAGACCTCACAAGCGTGGTCTGTTCTGGACCATATATTATGTGGTCTGGTCTCTGGTCTATTCTTCGGTCTCTCAGTCTGAAACGTAGACCGTATTTATGATCTAGTCTGGAATGGTCTCCGACTCGGCCTAGGGGAGGGGTAGTTGGGTCATTGTTCTTAATTAGGGGAGAGCTCTATTTAAACACTAGCTGTGCACTATTTTGTTTATGAATAATCATATCAGAATTATCAAATCCCTAATCTCTCTTCAATTCTCAATTCCAGCCCTAAATTCCCAATTCTCAATCCTAATTCTTCTATTTCTCATCCCTAATTCCTGTTCGTAACAACCGCGCTGCCGGGAAAACGACCACTGTCGTCGTGGCGGGTGAGAGCCGCGGGGCTCGCAGAGGAGAAGGAGGAGGAGGCGACGACCGCGCGGAGGGAGAAGACAGGCGCGGGCAGGGAAACGATCTCTGCCGTTGCGGCAGTCGAGACGGCGGGGTCGGCGACGATGAGGTTCAAGGCGCAGGTCATGGGGAAATGGGGAGTGGCCCTCGTTGACAGCGGGGCTTCTCTCAATTTCGTCGGTGCAGAGTTTGTGAAGCGGCTAAATCTGCCACGGTCAACCATTGAGTCCTTTGATGTGAAGGTGGCTAATGGTGCCCCACTACGGTGTGCAGAAAAGTTAGTAGGGGTTCCCGTGATGATTCAAGGGCTGTTAATTCCTCTCAATCTATATATACTGCCATTACACGGGGTTGACTTGATTTTGGGAATGCCGTGGCTCAAGAGTTTGGGACCGGTGACGAGTGACTAGGTAGAGATGGTGATGAAGTTCAAGTGGAGGGATAAGGACTGGGAGCTGCGAGGGATGATGACAGCAACGGGACCCATCGAGTGGGGAGATCCGCAGCTCGATGAGGACTTGGAACTGGCCATCCTTTGCTGGCTGATGGCGCGCGACGGGGGACAGGCTCAAGCACCAGACCTGCAGTTGTTGTTGGACCGATATGCTAGTCTATTTGCTCAGCCTACCCAGCTGTCCCCAAAATGGCAGGTTGACCATCGGATTAGACTCAAAGAAGGAACCGAGGTGGTTAACGTTCGGCCGTACAGGTATGCACATGCTCAGAAGCAAGAGATAGAATGCCAGGTGGCCGAAATGATGACCGCGGGGCTGATTCAGGCAAGCTCCAGTCCGTTTTCGTCCCCAGTATTGTTGGTTAAGAAGAAGGATGGCACTTAGAGGTTCTGTACCGACTATCGTGCTCTCAATGCAGTAACGGTTCGAGACCGGTTCCCGATTTCGACCGTTGATGACATGCTAGATAAATTACGGGGAGCAAAATATTTCACGAAGCTCGACCTACGAGCTGGATATCATCCGATACGCATGCACGAGGAGGACATTCCGAAGACTGCTTTTCGGACACACAATGGCCATTACGAGTATCTCGTGATGCCTTTCGGGCTCTGCAATGCGCCATCGACCTTCCAGGCATCCTTGAATGACATATTTCGACCTCTCTTATGCAGGTCAGTGATGGTATTTTTTGATGATATCCTGGTTTTCAGTAAATCATGGTGGGAGCACCTACAACAGTTGCAGGAGGTGTTCGAGATATTGCAGGAGAATCAGTTGTATGTGAATGAGTCTAAATGCGCGTTCGGGGTACAGGAGGTGGATTATCTGGGGCATGTGATCTCGGGAGAGGGAGTTCGAGTGGATCCGTTGAAAATCCAGTCCAAGATGGACTGGCCATTGCCGAGGAATGCGATTGCATTGAGGGGCTTTCTGGGCTTGACTAGGTATTACCGGCGTTTTGTGCAGGGTTATAGCTCGATAGTCGGGCCGCTGAATGTGCTTTTGAAGAAAGTAGGGTTCAGCTGGACCCTAGAGGCAGAGAGTGCCTACGAGGCACTCAAGGTGGCCTTGTGCACGACCCCAGTTTTGGCACTACCTGATTTTTCCCATCCATTTGACATCGAGACAGAAGCGTCGGACCGGGGGATTGGCGCAGTGCTGTCCCAGGAAAAGCATCCCATTGCTTTCATGAGCCGGACCCTTCCTTCCTCCAAGGAGGCTTGGTCAACATACCAGAAGGAGATGCACGCTATCACAGAAGCAGTACAGATGTGACGTCCGTACTTGATCGGCCAGAAGATTTGTATTTACACCGATCATCAGAGTTTGAAGCATCTGATAGAACAGCGGGTGTCCACTCCATATCAGCACAAATGGATGGTGAAGTTGATGGGGTATGACTATGAGCTCCATTACCGGCCGGGACCGATGAACAAGGCCGCAGATGCCTTGTCACAGGTGGAGTTTGAGCCGCAAGTGGCGGCTGTGACCAGACCAGTAGTGCAGTTCTAGGACGAGGTCCGGAAGGCGGTGGAGACAAGCCCATACCTGAGGGAGAGGCGCGATATCGCTCTGAGTGTGACCCTGGGAGATGATGCGTTCCGCCATGGGCTGCTGTATTTTAAAGGGCGGGTGGTCCTACCGGCGTCCACCTCTCTGACAGCGACGGTGATGAAGGAGTTCCATGATTCCCCGGTTGGTGGGCATTCGGGACACGAGAGGATGATGAGGAAGATTTGCAGTCAGTTCTACTGGCCGCAGATGGGTCGCGAGGTTAAGGAGTATGTGGCCTCTTGCGATACTTGCCAGAGGGTCAAGGCTTCTTTGCTACGACCGGAAGGGTTACTACAGCCACTAGCTGTACCGGAGCGGGTTTGGAAGGACATTAATAGTATGGATTTCATAGTGCGGCTGCCACCATCCGGAGGGAAGACAGTTTTATTAGTGGTGGTTGACAGACTCACGAAGTATGCGCACTTCATGGCGTTAGCACACCCGTACACGACCAGAAGTGTAGCTGAGCAGTTCGTCTGGGGGGTGATCCGGCACAACGGATTTCCCCGGTCAATCGTCAGTGATCGAGATGCACTTTTCTTGGGCAGGTTCTGGAAAGAGGTGTTCTCGATGGCGAAGACCGAGCTGAAGATGAGCTCTGCATATCACCCGCAG